AAACTGGTTTCTTCGCTTTGAACCTGGATATGGACCTAAGAAATCGCAATAAAGACGCTGGAATGGCCTCTCGGATACGAAGGCATTGCCCATAGGTGGTCTGGACACTTGATTGGTTTCTTTCACGGCTTTGCATGTTTCGCAACGGCTTACATAGAGGCGTATGTCCTTTGCCATTTGCGGCCAAAAATATTTCTGCCGAACACGCTCTAAAGTCTTTTGCCAACCTCCATGGTAACTAGCATTGGAATCATGTGAGCATTTGATTGCGAGCTCCGTCAGCCCTTCCGGTGCCCACAAACACCAGAGCGAATCTTCTTCCTCTTCCACGCCTCTTCGAAACATCACTCTTTTGTAAACTCTATTGTCGACTATGCGTAGATCGGGCAGCCCTTCGTGATTGTTTTCAATTGTTTTACGAAGCTCCGAGTACTTTACGCCGTCGAATTCCGGTGATGCCAAGCCAATTTCTAGAGGTGGGGTAGAAGAGAGTTCGTCCACGTCAAAACGCGAAAGGGTGTCCGGCACAACATTTAAAGAACCTTTGCGATGCTCCATCCTAAAGTTGTATCGTTGCAATAGAAGCGACCATCTTGCCAGCCTGCCGCTCAAGTCTTTTTGTGTCATTAGCCCCTTGAGACTTGAATGGTCAGTAATTATTCGAAAAGGCAATCCTCAATATATGGTCTGAAACTCTTGACGCTAACTATTGCGGCGAGGCATTCCAGCTCGGTGACCGTATAATTCCGCTGAGCATTATTAAGCTTCTTCGATACGAAAGCTATGGGATGCTCTGCCCCTTCCTCATCGAGCTGGAATAACACGCCTCCTACCCCTATTTTGGATGCATCACATTGAATTACGAATTATTTAGTAAAATCTGGTTGTGCCAGGACAGGCGCTGAACAGAGTGCAACTTTAAGCTTTCCAAATGCTTCAACTGCCTCAGGAGTTAATTTAAATGGACCAGGTGACTTTCGCAGGCAATCTGTCATGGGACCCGCCAAATCTGCAAAATTGGTAATAAACGACCTGTACCAATTTGCCATTCCTATAAACCTACGAACCTGACGAGAAGACTTTGGAATCGGAAAATCCTTATCGCATCAATCTTGCCTGGGTCTACTTTCAAACAACCATTCCTTATCAAGTACCCGAAGTACCGAATTTCCTTTGGCAGAACTTGCTCTTCTTTACGTTGATTGTAAGTCCAGCTTCCCGGAAGCATTTCGCCACTTCCATCAGCAATTCCAAATGGTCTTCAAAGTTTGAGCTGCACACCATCAGATCATCCAGGTAGACGAAGAGGTTCTCTCGTAACCGTGAAGGAATAGCCTTATCCATCAGCCGACTCATTGTTTCTGGACCGTTGCACAGGCCAAAGGGCATTACTTTAAAGTGGTACAAAGGCTTTCCTGGAACCGCAAATGTCGTCTTTTCCTTAGACGATTCCGTTAATTTGATTTGAAAGAAAGCATCCTTCAAATCAATACCACTTATAAAGTATGTGTCCTTTAACCTGCTCAACAACCCATTAATATGGGGCAACGGGTACGAGTCCTTCTTTGTAACCGCGTTCACCTTCCTGGAGTCAATGCACAGCCTGACCTTGCCTGGTTTCCGAACTAGTACCACTGGACTACACCACGGTGAATTCGATTCCTCAGTAGCCTTTCAATTTCGCTATAGGCTTCCGCCTGCCTGGGTGGTGAAAGAGGAAAATGCTTGCTTTTAATTGTCTATATGGTGAGTCACTAAACTGGTTTGACCTAGTCCTAGCTCTTCGAACGAGGGAAACTCCTGAACAACCTTTGGCAATTCTATCTTCTGATCTGGTGTGAGCTGATGGAAGTTTGGCTCATCCTCATTTGGAACATCTAAACAGGAAACGCTTGGGAATATATCGGGTGCTAACGCAAATGCCTTCCAGAAATCACCCAGGTATGCTTCTTGGATTAATGACGGTACAAGATAAAAGCGAATAGTCCTAATAGTAATATTTTTAAAAGTGACCGGTAAAGATAACGAGCCGAGTATTTTCTGCTGATTTCCACCAGCCGTGTAAACAAACGCGCGCAAAGAATGATATTTTAAATTGTTTCTCTTTAGGAAATCTTCGCATCCGTTTCCAAGAATGGAAACGTTTGCTCCGGAATCTAATAAACCCACTACGAAACTATCGTGTATTTTAATCTAGCGGTCGTTCGTCTGGCGTTATAAGAATTTTAGTGCTTTCCAAAAGTTTACGCATTTTTACTAGGCTAGAATATCTTTTCCTACACTGCAGAATATTTTCTTAAACTACAAGTTTTGGTTCTTCTTCGAAAATATTCGCCCTTATCCGTTCATAATCAATTTCTCTTTGCTCTAAACTAACTGGGAATTGAGTCTGGCATGCGACCTCCCTACGTAAGGCCTAAGAATTCGAACCTGCAGAGGATTGGCTGTAGAAGAAAACATACACTCGGAATCAGAACCTTCGGAACTATCTGGGAAAGTTATGATGACCCGTGGTGAAGCCCTCGAGGGACTGGTATTACTCTCCGAACTACTGACATCTCCATGCAAACGAACGGTTCTGGTTGGGACTGGCTTACTCTTTGCTTTAGTACAGGAGGCTGCTGCTCTTGTACTCCCTGCTTCTGGGGCTAGGGTGCCGAACGAGAATCCCCGATTGCCTTCTCGTTCGGGTTCCGGTTTCCCTGTCTCCGATGATCTCTGGGGCATCTTGGAGTGACCACCCCCTTCTGTCCACACTTGAAGCAGAACACGTTCCGAATCCTCGCAATAGATGTAAGAGTGTCCCACCTTGTCACAGTTCCAGCACTGTATTCCTGAGTAGTCCGGTTTCCTAGTCCTCTGGAAATTCAGCGCTTCCACTTGTGGATCCACTTCTACATCCATTCCTCCTGTCCATTCATCCGGTGTAATAGCCATGGTTTCGTTGACATGCCGTCCAGAATAGTTCGGTACCAAGCTCCTGGTTTCCTTCAGGATCTGTTCGCCATTCCTAGCAACGTCACGTAGGTCATGTAGGGTCTGCGCACCAGCATTGAAAAGCATCAACTTCAGGCTGCTGTCAACGTTCCTCTTCAATATGTCCATCAACAGGTTCTCCGACATCGGCTCCTTTAGTCTAGCGTTCAAGGCTAATATATCTGTATGAAACGTATCATACGATTCATTAGCCTTCTGACGACGCATTGAGATCTCCATTATGATCTCATGGTCACTCTTTAAGGTGCCGAATTCCCGCTTGATAGAATAGCACAAGAAGAGATAAGTCGCATCTGGATTCTGCTTAGTGAACAACCAATACCATTCCTCAGCTCGCCCTGACAAAAATAAGTGGAAACTTGCCATCAACTGCTCATCTGTACATTGCGTGCGCTCACACAACGTATTGAGTTTAAAAAGAAAGTCTGAAACGCTACCGGTGCCGTCATAGGATACCTTCCAATCCTGTGGCTTAATGACAATATTAGTGGTGAAATTTGGTCGGTTATTCAAAGTGGCTTGTGTCGGATTGCGTCCGATAGAAGCAAAGTCCCTAGGGCCATTGGGTGCACTTAATGCGTTCATATTTTACCGCATTGTTCTCATTTCAGCTCTCATTTCTTCTTGCGAAGTACGTAAGAGCTGATGAAGCACTCCTACCAACGAATCTCCTGCAGGCGCTCCGCTATTAGAACGCCTACTTCTATCTTCTGCAATACCTTCACCAAAACCGGTATTCCCTGGCAAAGACCTATCAATTTCCTGTCTTCCCGAGAGCATAGTCATGGAGGTAGCGGAAACATTCTGAACCGAATTCCCAGGTGGTGAGGTGTCAAGTAAATTTGAGCTTTGACGGCTATCAACTTTAAGTCCCGGAGCGGGATTGGCCATCGGAATTGGAGGCGGAACTCCTCCCGTATGGTCAGCAATAGGTGAATGAATCACCAGAGGATTAGTTGCTGGCATAGCAGGAGTGTTATTTCTCCCGGCCCCTCTTGACTCAACGCCGCTACCTCTCACCGAGCTACTGCGCGTAAGCCTTTGCTGCTCTTCCATACAGCAAATCAACTGCAATTGGGAAATCAAGAAATGTGACGCTCGAGGTCAAAACAAGTTCTAATTCTAAGTCTAGAATAGGTGCTGAAGATTTGGCTCTCCCAGAGCTCAAACCAAAATCCGAAAATCCGGGAAAATTTGCTTAGTTAAATTAGGCTTGCTTTCTTAGCTTAAGCCGAAAGAACGTCCGAAAAAAAATATATATAAAATTAAAAAAACGAGTTTAAGCCAAGTGGCGCGCTTACCGAACCCGATCGCGACAAAAAAAAACCGAATTATCAAATGTATTCAGTCCGCGTACTGAATATGAATATACGCAAAAGGTAAAAAAAATCAATCAAAATACACGTATGCAGTTAGTAAATAGGCATATATGGTGGTTAATTAAATATACGTGTATTTATAAATTCAGTTGGGTATAATTTTTAAGTATGGGAAATATGTATTTTCAAAGGTCAATGGGAATGCTGGGGAGGTCAGCATTAAGAAGGCACAAAAATCTACGAAAAATAAGGTACGAATACAACAAACAAAAACAAAAGTCGCTGTCTGGTCCAGCACACCCAACCGCAATGAAAAGCCGGCATAGTGGAATGCCCCTCCAGACTTGAAGGGTGTACTGGACTTCGCGTACAAGTAGCTGAACTATCTTTCGGTCTCAGTGCACTCCACCGCAATGCAGCAAGGGGCAGCCAACGCATGCCCCCCTGAGACATGTGGGATGACTGAGACCCCGATAGTCAGTCGTTGTTGGAGTCCCAGCCCACTCCATCGCGATACGTAGGCGCTCGAGAGCGCCAGCGCAGACCTATAGAGTGAGCTGGGGTCCTTAAGAGAAATTTAATTATGTATAATTTTTTTTTCCTGAAAAAAAAAAATTTTAAAAAAAAGCAAACACAAAAAAAATATTCGGCAAAAAAAAACTACTACAAAACTATTTAAACTAAACCCCACTTAGCGGACAAATTTTCCACAATTCCCATGCCGACATATCGGACCACTGACAAAAGCGGAGAAAAATAAAAAGGTAAAACTATAAAAAAACTAAGTGCGTTTAGCACTGCCTCACCGGGTGAATTCAAAACTCCGGAGGACGTGACGTGAAGTCTCGGAGAAGCCTTCAGTTGCTGGCCAAGAGGACCTATCCGAACCAGCACAATCAGCTCCACTCATCCCGCCGCAACGCAGCAAGGGGCAGCAATCACATGCCCCCCTGGGACTTGCGGGATGGCGAAGCCTCATGTACAAGTCAACCTGACCAGACCTCAGGCTACCGCGTTGGGCGCCATCTGTTATGGTACGCATACATCAGGAGCAGCAGTGAGTGCAGGCGGCATGACATAATGGGGTGCACTGTGGCTAGTCATGTCGGCTGGGCGGGGTTCTTGCCTCACTACTGTTCCCTGCGCCATAGCAGAGAAAAGTCTTGCCTGTCAAACTTCCCAACGGACGAACACACAACAATTCAAAAATTCAAAAAATTACAAAAAATCCGTTACAAAATAAAAAAAAAGCTGGAAGAAGAACATTAAATTAAAACATTTAAAATAAACTGAAAAATCAAAAGAAAGCAGAATCCAAACTAAAACTGAAATAAGAAATGAACCAAAACAAAAAAAAACTAAGGCCGAATATGAGGCACCACCGCTGGCATTGTGGTGCCTGGTGCTGGCCCACCCTCAACCGTGGCTGCAGGCGCACCCTAATATCAGCAGCCCCATTATAAAATTCCTAATGTGTCCCCCTAAGGAATGAGTAAAGTCAGCATTCCCATTTTTAACTTATAGTTTTATTTATAACTCATTGTCTTATAACTAAATTAATCCTATTTCTTAAAGCTAATTCCTATCATCTAAAACTGGTAAGTATATTTACTTAACCTACTAGGTTGGTATGTCTCTTAAGTCTAAAGCAAGTGTGTTAATCGCAAGAAGGTAAGGTAAGTATAGGTAACTAGAACTGAGGTAAATATGTACATGAGGTAAGTGTTTACCCTAAAGTTAAATCTAATTAAGTGAACTAAGTTAAGGCTAGCTAAGTATATCTAGTATTTTCACAAAAAAATGTATATCAAGTAATAGTGGGTAAAAAGTTCAAGTAGGTAATATCAGGTAAGTAGTGGAAAAAATGTTGGATTAGGTAGGAAAATCAGGTAGGTACGTCTGGTATGTACTTCAGGTAAGTGAATTAAATAGGAAACTCAGGTGAGTAAGTCAAGGTAAGTAATTCAGGTAAGTAGGTCAAGTTAGCCTAAGGTACTTATAGTTAAGTCTTAGTTATAGTTCTCCTAAATTTAATTTAATTTACGGGGTTTCTACATTCATTTGTTTTGGTTTTGGGTTCACGTAATTTAATTAATTCCTTTTAGTCTTTCTTTTCTATTTATTCCTCTTTCCTGTTTGGTTTATTATTATTATTAGTATTATTATTTATTTATATTAAGTTTTTGTTATACAGTGGCCTTTTTTTTATGTTAATTTACATTTTCTTTAAGTTTCAGTTAATTAAATATTTTAGTCCCGGGTTAGCTTTGTTTTCGGTTTTAATCTAATTCAATTTAATTTCATTCA